TTGAAACCTGGACCATTATGGCAGCTGTTGAAGCTTTAATAAGAAATTTCATAAAATAATATATGCTAAGTTTCTGTGGTTTTAATGCAATTGCAATTGTAAAATTTCACACCCATGCTCTTCCTTTGAATAATGCAAAACTTGGCCATGATGTAATTTGGTGCGGATGGCTAATTTTTATCTCATAATTTTATCTGTTTCGTTTGAACAAAATAATTGTTACATTTAAATTTTAGGCCTTTTTGATTTTCATTTTTTTCAAAATATATTTTTCTTTTCTTTTTAACCACACATTCTCCAATAAAATAATATTACACACAAAATAATTTTTTTTTCTTATTTTTAACTACAGATTCGCCATTAAATCACTATTTCAAAATGTATTTTTTGCAAAAATGGGCATCAAACGAGCTCTTAATATTTTGTTGTGGCCGATGGGATGGTCAACGGTCGTCCGTGCTAACTTAAAATCCTGGATTCACCCTTGCCGAATATGTGTAGTGTTAGTCTCTGATTGTAATTTTGAAGCTCGGGAAAATTTGCGAGGAATCCTACACAAGAATTCTGAAAATCATTTCTCTGCACAACATCAAATTTATCAATCATACTTTTGATGTACTTCATGTAATTGTGCTAAGAAATGTGCGTGTGCATTCAATCATCTTCGACTAAAAGAAATTCGAAATTCATTTACAAAAACCAGAAACATCAAAAAATATCAAAGGTCATATGATAATGTATCGACCAATTACTTCATAAGACAAGTAGAACATCAACTAAACCAAATTTGACATATGAACAAAATTGTCGACACAAATATCCAACTGTTGAGAATTCCTGAACTCAACCGTTAAGAGTTACAATTGGTTCTGTTGAGAGTGACAGTTTTTCTCAATAGATTATTCCATAATTGTAAGATGAGGACACACTTGATAAAGCCAAATTTCCAATGAAAATGTATAGAATACTTCTAGTTCCAAACATCCCACATTGCAGAATTCAAATAACGAAAATGTATATAATTAAAATTGATATGTTGATACAAAAACCGACGAAAACAATAGGTGTATGTACATATATGTGAATCAATGGGAATTCATATGGGATTCATCAAATTTAAAGAAATTTCACCATTCTCTCTCAATAAGAAACCTAATTCAACTAGTCTTACACAAATCAAATAATGAGCAATAAAAGATACATAAAAGAGGAGAATACATACAATTCTATCCTTGTTTATCTTCAATTTCTTATGAGCCTTCGATCTTCATGTCTGATTTTTAGTTAGGGCCTGTTTGATAGGCCTTGTTTTTTAGGGAAGATGGAAAATACCAGCCATTTTCCACAAATTGATATGTTTGATTGACATAATATTCTGGGGAATTAGTTTTCTTGTTTCGGCGCACGTGACCTCCTTTTCCATGAAATCGTGGAATTGATATTCTCTTGGGTTAGGTGGTTTTTCATTTCCTGGCAAAGTGGCTATTAAAAGAAGCAGCTTTTCTTCTCACACCTTCCCCTTTTCATTCCACCGTCTCCATCCAAAATCTGAAATACCCTCCAAATCAACCAAAAAAATAAATACAAAATCTTGCTTGTGAAGGGGAGGAGTGCGTGGATTGCACCGAGGAAAACATAGTAGCTGTGGGAACTGGAAAACCTTCAAGAATCACCACTTTCAGACCATCAAGTTGCCGAATTAGGTTTGTACTACGCCCATTTAGCTCTGCTTCTAGTAGCCGCTTCCCTATGTTTTGATTTTCTGACAAGAATCAAGTTTGACTGGCATATCCATTGAATACGTCTTTTCTATTTTCAGCATTTGAACTTTGGTGCAAGTAATCTGAGATTTTGATGTTTGTTTTAGAAGTTTTCTCTGCTGGGTTCGTATTGTATTCTTGTCTGGTAAAGTGGGTGAGTAGAAATGGTTTGCATTTGGGATTGTAAATTGATTGCTTATTAGGTTTCGTTTCTCAAGAAATGGTTTAATTTTTAGCTGAACCTAGGGGTTGAAAACGAGAAGAACAAGAGGGATGTAAAAAAATAAAAAATAAAAAAATATGTCTACAACTCTCTCTGTATATATTAGTAGTTCTATATTTTTTTTTATTTCAGGTAATTTATCCATCTTTCTATGTTTATGTGCATATTGTTGAGGTGTTTCATTGAAGCAGCTTCCCTTTTTTGGAGGTTTATTGATCTGTGTGTTTGTATGTTAGAGGACATCCTTTATTTTTTATTTTTCGTTCGACTTTGGAGTTGGTAATAATGATTGAGAGCTGATTTTGGAATTGGAAATATATATTTTTGTTGTTCATAGCAAAAATGTTAAAAGTATAATTCGTATTTGTTTTATTTGGAAATGAAATTTTATCTTAACACATACCATATTGGACAGTTAGATGTATTTAGCAAGTTTGCGGAATATCTACATTTGTTGCATGCAAATTTACATTGAAGATCGTGTAAACAAATGATATAGACCTGAGCTTTTCTGCGTGTAACACATGAAAAAAGTGAGCATTAACATAGTATTTATTAATTAAGACAAGCATAGAAACTTCTATAGTTGGTGATTCACTATGATAGTCAGTATAATTGCTGAAATTTTTTCTGTAACGCCATGTGATTGAAAACTTCATATTTAGGAAGTAGGGGTTGCTTCTGTAAGGCTAACATACTCATCTCAAAGATATCATTTTGTGCTGCACGTGAAATTTTTTTTTTAAAATTTAAACTTAGGCGTCAAAGCATTTTTTTATAAGCTTTATGAGGACGTTGGGGGAAATATGTTTATATGCTCATAATATTTTTTATCCTTTCAGCCGTCCTCTAGTTGCTCAGTTTTGATGGTTTGCTGTGACATTTGGGTGTACAGCCTAGTTGTTTATATGCTTCAAAAATTTGTAATTAGTGAACATGAATAAATCTCTTCTTTTCTCTTGCTTTTAACTTTTTAGACGTTGTTCTAAGTACCATGGATACCACAAGGAACCAACATCGTCGCCAACAACAACAATTGGATCTATTTTGGACGATGGTCATGCAAGCAATTGTAATATATAATACCATCAGACGTCGTAATCGACAACTCCCTAGAGCCCCACTTAGAAATTGGGATTCTAAAAGAGAAATGACATTTACAAGGATGTTCGGTATGAGTGATAGAATTTGTCATGATCTACTGAGGATGAAGATAGCTCCGTTTCAAATTTTATGTGCTCGTTTACAAACATATGGTTTGGTTGACAATAGATCTGTAAAAGTAGAGGAACAAGTGGCTATATTTCTCAACACAGTTGGACATGACCACCATAATCGAACTGGAAGTTTTGCGTTCTTTAGATCTGGTCAAACAGTGAGTTATTACTTCCATCGAGTTTTACAGGCTTGCCTTGGATTGTACAGAGATGTTGTGAATAATGCCACTATTCAGAACTCACCATACGAGAAAGATAAGGATAAGCCATGGTTCCAATATTTTAAGGTTCAATGGCAATATTTAACTTCATTTACTTTTTCCCTTCACGGTCACTATTCTTTTTGTAACCAAGCCTTTTTGTTTTCCTATTAGGATTCTGTAGGGGCAATTGATGGTACTCACATTCATGCAAATGTCCCCGTAGAGGAACAAGCCAGGTATCATAATAGGAAGCAAATGATATCTCAGAATGTTTTGGTCGCTTGCACATTTGATATGAAGTTTACGTATGTGCTTGCCGGTTGGGAGGGATCCGCCCACGACGGTCGATTGTTAAGGAGTGCTACCTTACGACAAGGTCATAGGCTAATAATTCCTGTTGGTAAGATCTACCATTTCGTTCTTTATGATTTGACTTTCACTTCTTTCAAAACATAACGACAACTTAACAACCATGTGTCGAATAGGTAAATATTATTTTGCTGATGCTGGATTTCCATTGGTTCCGGGATTTCTAGCACCCTACCGTCGGAATCGGTATCATCGTAGAGACATTGAGGGACATCGGCCTGAAAAAAAGAAAGAATTGTTTAATTTTCGACATTCATGTCTACGAAATGTTGTGGAGAGGATTATTGGTCTGCTTAAAAAGAGATTCGCATATTTGAGGCATCAACCATTCCATGACATTGAGACGCAAGCAAGGATTGTGCTTGCTTGTTGCACCATTCACAACTTCTTAAGGATTTATGACCCAGATGATCTTTGCGATGAGGACAACTATAGTAGCGATGATGAGGTTAACCCTGAACATGTTGATGCACCAGAAGATGACACACCAAATGCTCCAATATCCTTCACAGCAGAAGCTGCATGGTCTAGTAATAGGGATACAAAGGCTGATGAAATGTGGGCCTCTTACCATCCAAGTCATGACATGGGAATTGATTTTGATTGAATCTAATATGTATTATATTTCAATACTACTTGTGTTTCCATGTAATGTTTTGGAAAATAATTGCTAGTGTTTTTGTCTCCTATTATGGTTGCTTCGACACTTGTTATGTTGTGGTGTTTTCTTATTTCCAAGGATATCTACATTTGCATCTTTCATATATTTTGGAATCGTTTTGCCTGGTTTATATCGTTATTAGCTGATTTTGAAGCAATATTGTTGTTCCTTCTAGTTATGCTAATATTGAATTTTTTTATTTTATTTTCAAGTGACAGCGTTAATGGCACAGAATCGACGAAACTTGACTGGCCAGTTTCATGTTCCCAAACCGACCACCCATTTGGATGGGAATTCCATTGATTTTGGTAGGTCGAAAATGGAGCCTAATGCTAAGACTCGTAATGTACGTTGGAGTGATGAGATGGATGGTTTTCTGATCACGTCATTTGTTGACAAGTGTTGGCTGGGCACAAACGAAGTGACAATGGCTTTACCACATTTCAAGTATCTAAGGCAGTAGACAAGGTTCTCAATGGATGCGGGATCATGGTCTCAGATAAGAATGTAAGGGCAATGTTAAAGACTCTTAAAAAAGACTATGCCGAAGTTCGCTAGTTGCTACATATGAGCGATTTTGGGTTGGATCCTGAAACTGGACGCATTATAGCTGATGTTGTTACTTGGGAGGATTTTATTACGGTACAAATTTGGACAAATGTTGGACTTTCCTAATAATAGATATTGGAAAAATAGATGATTTGGGGACATTTAAAATGCACTCACAAGTTCATTTTGCAGGGGAAGCCAGATTTTGGGAAGTGGAGGACCAAACTTTGTCCAAGATATGATGAAATTGAGACTATCTTCGGGAATGATGCAGCCACTGGAGATCGACCAGTGTCTGTCTTCGACCATTTCTCCCCAATAAATGGTATGTAATATATTTTACTGTACGATACTGTGCCCGTTTCATGTCTAAACTTCTAATAAATTGTTCTCTCTTTAATGTAGTAATTGATGATAGTGTGAACGAAGTAGATATGGAAAATGTGGAGATGGATCCTAGCCCAGTTCATTCTCGTAAGCGTACCGCCGAAGAAGGGACAAACAAATCCAAGCGCCGTCGTGCACGACCGGTAGATGAGAGTAATATCGCCCTATTGAGGATTGCCGATTCTTCTACAAAAATTGCTCAAGCTATGGAAATGCAAGCTACGCTAGATACGCTGAATCATGTTAATTGGTAGTTGATTGTAGAGAAGCTAGAGGCAATGAACCTAGACATGGACGACATCATGCAAGTCATGAAAGAGTTTCGATCCGACGATGGTTTGGCTAAGGTATTTATGAATTTGACGAGTACAAAATACATGCGTGCTTTGGTGTTTGACAAGCTCGGTCGTGATCCGCCTCCACTACCATAGATTGCACATGACTTATGGCGTAAGTATGTATTAACTCGTAATCCATTTGGAAAACTTCATCCACATAAGTACTACTTTGAATTTTTTTTGTAATGCACACACGTAACAACTAGTGTGCAGTGCTTTGTAACATTTGGCTATTTTGTTTCAAGGGTTTTGAAAGGTTGATGTAGATGTTGGGCATGGAGTTGTTTATAGTATAAAAATGCATCAGTACCAATTATCCACAAGCACTTGAAAGATTATCAATTGTCGGTTATTTGAAAAATAAAAAAATGAAAGCAAGATAATGGAGATTATAGAATCCAGCGCATTGAAGACATAATAGCTTGGTTAGGGAATTTTTCGAACACCTGAAATGCTAATGGAGAAAATCTTTTTTAAAAATTGCCTCAATTGGAACAATTTAGATGAAACAGCCAATTGAGGGTGTAGAAAGGAAATGATGGGAGGCAAGTATGTCAAATTCCTAGTTAATCTAGATCTATTGCAAAAAATTACAAGATTATTATGCCTCTCTACTCAATATCGAATATTGATTTAATTTATGAATTTTTTTTAAAAAAATTACAGTCATTCTAATTAAATACCAAATTCATAATTTCAAAAATATATTTTCAGATAATTTAATTATAATTAAATATCCAATTCTTACAAATAACTATCAAACACCAATAGTTAGAAAATAAAATAAGTTCCATGGAAAACAAAACCAATCAAACACCAAAAGGTGGAAAATCTCAATGTTTTTCAGGTAGAAAATTATATCAATCAAACACTTTTAATTGACAATTCCCAGGAAAACAATTTCCAGGCAATTCAATTCCCTAGAATTCGTTTTCTTTCCACCCATTTTCCACATTTGCAATCAAACGCACCCTTATGGAATTTCTAAAATTTCGCTATTTGATTTTTCTAGAAATAGAGATACAGAGGACACAATCAAATTCCATAATATATATAAGCTGAATGGAACATCCGAACTCATTTCACTACAAGAAACCCGTGCAAGATTTTGTAGAACCTCGACGGAAATAGCATGGAGTCGTCGACGACCGACGAGTTCAAATGAGGGAGATCGACGAATAGGTTTAGGGATTCCTCTGCATGAACTATGTGTGACCTCGATGGAAATACCATGTATTCGTCGGCTACCAACGATGATGAATGAGAGAGCAACAAAGAGGTTTAGGGAACCTCCTTGGCATGGACGGTGTGTAATAGTTTTAGTTTTAGGGATGAGGGTTGTATTTTTTTATTTTTCCAAAATTTTGAGGGGGGAGGGGGGGATTAATTGGATGGAAAATCCCATTTAATTTGTGGGTCCCACAAGACCCACAATAATGTGCGAGGTTGTAAGATTTTACAATCATCTAATGATTGTACACCAAGCAAATTTCTTTTTGATGGGCAAAATAGTCCTAAAGCGAATTTTTTGTCAAAATTATTAAAAGGGTTAATTTCACAAATGGTCACTGAAATTACTTGAAAATTTCAAAACGGT